AGGAGCTCGCACTTCGTGCGCACCTCTTCAAGAAGCAACAGTTGCTCAATTGTATCTCCGACCCTGCTCCTCCCCTCATCTATCGCATCGATATGCAGGCGGGACCCTCCTACGAATATGAACCACCCAAGCCGCTCCCCAACATTCACTTCCAGCACACAAAGATTCTGCTGCGCACATCCGAGTACAACAAAATGTTTGCCGCCACAGCCGACAGGCTGGAACCGGTATTCGCTCAAATGGAAAAGGAAGAAGGGAGCTTGGAGCCAGAAGTTGTGGCGAAAGTCAGGAGGATGGGCGATGGGTTCGATGAGTTGTATCATGGGCTGGAGAAGAAGGTGCGCCGGCTTACCAACAGGCACTGGAGAGTTATCAAGTGCGACCTGAAAAGGATCGGGCATGTCTCCTTCGAGGACTTAAGCAGTCGCCTGCCGGATATTTGTAATGAGTTGGCTAGCTTAAACATCACCTTCAAGTACGAAGTGTAAATAGTGGAATAAAGATTGGCAATCTTTTCTGGCATAATTGGCTTATATGGCATGAGGAGGAGATCTCCTTCGCTTCACTTTTTCTTCAATCATAAGTGAATACGGGCTAATTACTACAATAAGAAATGGCCCCATACATCCCCTTCGTTCCGACCGAAGCATTCGCTATCGCCACGGAAGAAGAGTGGCGCAATGCAATCTTCCAGAACGTGAACGTCTCTGACGAACAAGCAGCTCTGCTGCAAACGGTTACTACAAATGCTGCAGAATCGACCACTGGATGAGTCAGAGACTGGATTGGTCGCCTGACCTTAGAAATAAGCAGGCACTACGACGGATACCTTCAGAGCCTCCTTCGAGAGGTTGAATCCCTGCACATCACGGTCCAGAATCAGCAGGCGCTAGTCGATTCCTACAAGCGACAAGTTGATGCGCTACCTGCGTCAACGGGTAGTGGTCATTCCCGTCAACCTAAGATTGGGGAACCTCCGGCCTTCAAGGGCAGTGAGGATAAGACCAAGCTTGAGAAATGGCTGGACCTGATCGTACTATGGTGCGAGCATGAGGGAGTGGCCACGGACAAACAGCGAATCGTCACGGCCCTCTCAAAGTTGCAAGGACCAGCTCACCAGTACATGAAGAGCTACTATGTGAAAATGCGGGAAGGAAAGGATCTGGGCACCTGGAAGGCATTTGTGGCGGAACTGGCACAGATATATGGGCAACGCGATGACAAGGAGGGTGCAAAGAAGGAGATCACGGTGCTGTTCATCAATAAGGATCTGGCCTCGAAGGACTTCGTGAAGTATGCTGAGAGGTTCCGCACCCTTGGACGTCTCATGGAGTATGACGATAGTCTCCTCATCGACAAACTCCGGGAGGTTATACCTCGTGACATGCGGTTGGTGTTGGCCGGAAAGGACGAGTCCACCTTGCCAAAGGATTGGACATTGTTCCTCGACATCTTGCTCAACATCAACAAGATCGTCAACCCGGAGAAGGCACGAGGCTCAGTATTCAAGAACAGTGGCTTGGATAATGGCGGCGCTGTTCCCATGGACATCGATTCGGCTGAAAAGTCGAAATCGAAGGGTAAAGGCAAAGGCAAGGCAAAGGACGCTGAGGCCGCCTCGACAGAGGCAAAGAAGTATTGCGTCATCTGCAAGTCGAAGACTCATAACACAGATGATTGCTACAAGTTGGCTAAAAATGCGGACAAGCGGCCGAAGACCCAAGGGGATGGCACTAAGAAGGCACAAGGAGGAAGCGGTAACCCCGCGGCCAAGAAGGCTAAGAAAACGCGGGTTATTCAAGTCGAGCTTACAGATAGCGAGGACGACACGCCCCCGTCCACGAAAGCCGTGAGCGCCAACACTGCGAGAATCGAGGAGATTGCGAACGTCGAGGAATCGACTCTGGCTGGGAAGGATGAACCCCAGCTGTCTGCAAAGACAGAACCCACCGCAGCTACCTCGGATTTTTGGAAGAAGTACATGTGACTACCTGCGAACATGTACTTAAGGAATCGGAACCCACCGTCGGAATCAATGTAGATAGTGTACACAGCAGTCTTGTAAATATCTCTCGCAACAAGAATTCATTCACTCTGCCTGTGACACTGTGGGTATACGGAAAGAAAGTGCAGGTCGAAGCTTTGGTAGACTCAGGGGCCACAACATCGTTCATCAATCGGTCAGTTGTTGAAAGTAACAGCCTGGTGACGCATAAGCTGGCAACCCCGTACAACGTTTATAACGCAGACGGGACCTCCAATAAAAGCGGGTCAAAT